GAGAATTTTTTTTTGCAAATGGAACTTTGATCACTTGTAATATTGTTTCACACCTACAACACTTGTTAAACAGATCTAAGTGGTAGAAAACAGATTGATATTTTCTACACTAGAAACTACCAGATAACAAGCTGCTATATTTAAACCAGTTATCAATAGCTGGTACTTAAACAGTAATTCTGGGACAATACCCTCACAAGTCAAACTGAGAGGTCAGTTTATAGGGAAAACTGTTGCCTGGATACAAATCTAAAACAATTACCATATGTCCTTTGCAGACTTTACATGCTGGAAAAACACAGGTGCCAACTGCTGTGGCTTTCTGCAGTGTGCAAACCGGCAAGGAGGGCAGGGTTGAGAAGTGGGTGGAATATGATGTGGAGGATGATGAGGTCCTAGACCCCACATGGAATGAAGGTCATGTGAGTGACGTGTGCAGTTTGGAGGAAGAGGCGTGGGTTGCACAGAGGCACCAGCACAGCATAAGAGGGAGCAGGGTGCAAAAGCGGAGCGGCCGTCCCCTAGCGCTCGTCGGCATGTATTAGCTCTATGCATGTATTTCGGCGTTCTCACCCTACTGCTGCTCGCCTGTCTGCGCTGCAGCATAACTTCGGCCTTCCCGCTCACCACCTCATATTCGACACACCCACAAGGTGGAACTCCACCTTGCACATGCTGGAGAGACTGTGCGAGCAGCAGCAGGCGATAGTGGAGTTTCAGCTGCAGCACGCACGGGTCAGTCGCTCTGCACCAGACTTGCCCTCCAATAGATCCTCATTAAAGGATTTAAAATGTACTCATTCCAATTACAGGGACTCAAAAGAGTCCTGTATTGTTATTTATCGTCACTACCTCCCCGCGTCGGGAGTGGGTAATTTGCGCGCCTGCTGCGTTCCTTGGATGTGGTAGCCATTTCTCAGGCTCCCTCTCCGGAATTGAACCCTGATTCCCTGTTACCCGTGGTCACCATGGTAGGCACAGAAAGTAACATCGAAAGTTGATAGGGCAGACATCCGAATGCGTCGTCGCCGTCACGGGGACGTGCAATCGGCCCGAGGTTATCTAGAGTCACCAAAGTGCCTGCGCAACGACTGCCGAGTTGCCCACATTCTAACTTGTGCTGATTACTGGGTGGCCACCCTGCTGGATCCCCATTACAAGGACAACGTGCCGTCCTTAATTCCCTCACTGAAGCGTGATCGGAAGATGCGCGACTACAAGCGCACACTGGTAGACACGCTGCTTAGGGCATTCCCAACTGACACCGGGGCTCAGTGGAAGCACAAGGCAAAGGCAGAGGAGGAGGTCGCCAACGCAGCTGGGGCACCATCAGCACCTCACAAGGCTGGGTTAGCATGGCCGAAATGTGGAAAAGCTTTGTCAGCACGCCACAACAACCAGCACCACCAGCTGATATGGAACGTCTTAGCAGGAGGCAGCATTTCAGCAACATGGTGGAACAGTACGTGTGCACATGCCTACACGTACTGACTGATGGGTCTACCCCATTCAATTTCTGGGTCTCCAGATTGGGCACATGGCCTGAGCTTGCCGTTTATGCCTTGGAGGTGCTGGCCTGCCCTGCAGCCAGTGTATTGTCTGAACGTGTGTTTAGCACAGCAGGGGGCGTTATCACAGACAAGCGCAGCCGCCTGTCCACAGCCAGGCTCCTCCTGCTTCCTCTTCTGCTGCTGCCTCAGCCTCTTCTTCCAGCTCTTCCTCCACCTCGCAAACAGAGGATGTGGCAGCAACGCCACCACGTCAGCCACCGTCCCCAAGCATCTCCACACTGTCCCATGGAAGTGTTCAGCTGTCCATCTCCCAAACACTGGAGAGAAAAAGGAAGTACCCCCCTACCCACCCGTGATCCCTGGCCCTGAATGCCAGCATTTCAAAATTCCTGGCCTTTGAAATGCTGTCATTCCGTCTGGTGGAGACGGACAGTTTTAAAAACCTGATGGCGTTATTGGACTGCAAGAAATGCACCGCAGACCGCAAATGTTTCCTTTTTTATATGTCCAAATATTTTGGGGGCTACCTCAATAAAAAAAAAAAGAAAAACAAGAAACAGTGTTGGCTACCTCCTCCACCACCACTTCCACCTACACCGCCATGGTCACCGCCTCCTCAACCTCCTACTCCACATCCACCTCCTCCTCCCGGAGCAGGGTGCAAAAGCGGAGCGGCCGTCCCCTAGACAGCACACCTGCTACTGCCCACCGCACCCAGGGACCGAGCACACCAAAGCCAGCTCCAAGTAGTTCCCTGGCGTGGCAGTTCTTCAGACAATGTGCTGACGACAAGACACTAGTGGTTTGCACGCTGTGCAATAAGAGCCTGAAGTGAGGCATAAATGTTCTAAACCTGAGCAGAACCTGCATGACCAGGCATCTACATGCAAAGCACAAGCTGCAGTGGAGTAAGCACCTAAAAAAACAAGAAAGGTCTCAGGCTCCTCATGCTTCCTCTTCTGCTGCTGTCTCGGCCTCGGCCTCTTCTTCCACCTCTTCCTCCACCCCGCAAACAGAGGATGTGGCAGCAACGCAACCATGTCCGCCACCGTCCCCAAGCATCTCCACACTGTCCCATGGAAGCGTTCAGCTGTCCATCTCACAAACACTGGAGATAAAGAGGAAGTACCCCCCTATCCGCCCGCGATCCCTGGCCCTGAATGCCAGCATTTCAAAACTCCTGGCCTTTGAAATGCTGTCATTCCGTCTGGTGGAGACGGACAGTTTTAAAAACCTGATGGCGTTATTGGACTGCAAGAAATGCACCACAGGCCACAAATGTTTCTTTTTTTATATGTCCCAATATTTTGGGGGCTACCCCAATTAAAAAAACAAAACAAAAAAACAAATAAAAAACAGTGTTGGCTATCTCCTCCGCCTCCACCACCGCTTCCACCTACACCGCCACGGTCACCGCTTCCTCAACCTCCTACCCCACATCCACCACCTCCTCCTAGTTCAAGATTATTATTTTTAATTTTTATGTATTTTATGTTATTTTAAGTTATTTCCCTATCCACATTTGTTTGCAGGGCGCTTGCCCTACTCTTACCCCCATTTTACTTCATTTTGCAGCCCTCTAGCCCTTTCCAGGACTTTTTTAGAGCCATTTTAGTGCCCAAATGTTCGGGTCCCCATTGACTTCAGTGGGGTTCGGGGTCAAGTTCGGGTCAAGTTCGAGCATGAACTCGAACTTTTTGATGAAGTTAGGCCGAACTCGGAGAGCCCGAACATCCAGGTGTCCGCTCAACTCTAGTAACAGATTTCGGGGGTCAAAGTTAGAAAAACTGTGCTTTATTTTAATTTTTTCATCATATTTTAGAGTTATTTTTATAGTAAATTATATGACATGAGTGGTATCTTTAGTGGTAGTGGTATCTTTAGAAAGACCATTTAATGGTGAATAAAACGGTATAATATGTGTGGGTACAGTACATTAGTAAGAGACAAATTACAGCTAAACACAAACACCGCAGAAATGTAAAAACAGTCCTGGTCCCAAACAGTAAGAAAATTGAAAAGCGGTCTGGTCACTAAAGGGTTAAATAATAACAAACACTTTTTGACAATCAAAGATTTAAAAATAAGCACAAGAAAATCTGCTCCAACAGGAAACTTGCAAAGATTCTCTACAGATGTCCACACCATTTGGATGCTACTTGGCAAGCTCACCCTTGGCGTATGTGCAACAACAGACTTTCAGCATGCTAATTTCCTATTATTTACAAAAGGGTAAAATAATGTGTGACCACAACAGGATATAGAAATAAACCATCACTAATGGATACCTGGCCTCGGATACCAGATAATGTCTGGAACATGTGCAAATATCTGCTGAAATTAGATTATCACTCTTAAAAAGCAACATTGCACGATTACCATAATGAGAATATTCATGACATAATCAAAAGATATCTTAAAAATTTGACTTTTTGACTATCTTAAAGGCTAACATATTTGTTTCTGTGTGTCTTCTTTCACTTTGTTTTCTTGCTCCATTTTTTTTTCTTTCTCTTTTTTTGGGGGGTGGGGATAGAGGAGGTCACAAATACATAATCCCCAGAGTATTAAAAACAAGTGCAAATGTGCACCATTTTTCTGGTAAATTTTTGTACTGACAGTTTTTTGTAAAACAGGAGCTTTCATGGTTTTCCTTTTAGTTTAAAGGATTACTTCAACCATCATAACCGCTACAACCCGCTTTGGTGGTGATTGTAATGGTAGGTGTATGTTGGCATCATTTCCTGCTGTACTGTCGTTCATCAGGACTGCTGTTTATGATTATGACATCCAACTTCTGGAAAGCTACCAGATGCCAATCCTGCTACTCATTGATTGACTTAGAGCATCAGCTGATCACTCATAGCCAATGACTGCAACTCTGTGCATAGGGATATTCACAGAATTAACATTGCAATAGATATTGTCTATGTCAGGTGCAGCTTCAGCACTCCAGTGGTATTAGATGAGGGTAAACAGATCGAACACCCATTCCAGAGTCTCTTCTCCATCAGGATAAATGTAAACTGCTTGTACAGGAAGGGAGGGGTTGCTCCTCACAGTATTTCTCGATCAAATATGTAACAGAGATTAAAAAATTTAAAAAATATATAGTGCAGTATTTCTAGTAAAATGGAAGAATAAGTAAGGAATATACTTCCAGATTCTTGAAATCTCCACTAGTACAATTCCCGCTTCTGGTTTCTTTTGGGTTTACTTGGTCTCAGTCAGAAGTACAGACGTTTGTATAAAAAAAATATAAAACATACAGATAGACTAATCTAGTGTAGTATACCTGGATAAATATGGGGTATGCAATAAAACAGAAAGAAGAAATATAGCGCACACTGTCATTTTCTTGCAAATAGAAAATCACTTACAAGTGTGAAGCAAAATGTGATTTTGCTCAATCCAAATAGCTTTGGTGATATATTCCCCACCATGAAAAGTGACTTCCAGTATATAATGAATTAAAAGCAGGAGGGTCCAGGTTGTCTTAAATAATTAAAATATTCTTTATTCTGACAGATAAAGCTAATAAAACAATGAAATATAGAATAAAAAGTAACACTAATGCATTTCACCAATGTGGCTTTTTAACAAAAAAAACTATAAAATATAGAGTAAAACACTAACACATTTCAACAATTGATGAAATATGTTAGTGTTACTTTTTACTCTATATTTTACTGTTATTTTAGCTTTATGTGTCAGAATAAAGAAAATTTTAAAACTGGTGCAAACGTAAATGTGATTGTCGGAATCTTTATACATAATTCAGTCCTGCAAGAACCTCTAATGATTCAGTTCAGTTGGCGAGAGGGTACGGGAAGAAGAGAGAGCTGTGGCAAGAGGCAGGGGAAGGAGGGAGGGGTGAGAGAAAGAGAAGGGGGGCAGGCTGAGAGGAAAAGGGAGGGAGTAGAAAGGAAAGGGGGGAAGGGTTGTTGGGTAGGCTATAGGGTTTGTTCCCCCCCCTGCTCCTCCAACCCTGCTGCATCCCCCCCCGCGGTTGGCCTTCTGGGTGAGGAGGTGTCTGAAGGCGTGTCAGCGTTATGTGGTGTCATGGCTTCCGATGTGGGGCTAGGTCCGACGTTACAGGACGTTGTGGGTCTCGCTTCTGGATTGGTTATTTTGTCGCCAGCCAGTGTATCCAGTGAAACTAAATCTTCTGGTAGGTTTGGCTCCGTCTCCTTGCTGCCAGGATGAGTTCCTCTATGCTTCTGATGTCTTCCACTCTGGTGATCCGGTCGTTAGTGGAGGGGGCTGAGGTTTGTTTCCAGAAGGTCGGGATGAGGCTGTATCTTCTGTGAATTTTTTGGAAACATATTTTAGGTCATGAGCTTTATAAATATGAAAGCTATGGCAGGAAGGCTTCTCAGAATCTACCTGTATACAAAAACAATGGGCAAAGAATATGATCCTGATATAAGTATAGAAATCCTGAGCAATGGTAAAGTGCAATATCTATAATTACCAGCCCCTCACCCACTTTTATACATCCATACAAGTTTCTATGGAAAATTCAAAATGGGGCCTTCTATTTAAATATATTTTGCCCACTGTTAATCATAGTAGGGATTTGGAATGGTATAGCAATATATCAAGGGTATCATTAGGTCTAATAATTGATCTACATTTCCTCTTTACTCAACAATTATTATTTACTTTACTCTGTGTATGTCTTTCGCCTGACATCTGCTTGTTTAAATTCTACCAAATCTTCTGAAGGATTGTTCAAGGGCTGCTCCATTCCATTGGAATTTCCTGCCCCGTGTCATAATACTCTCCCATAG